GAAAAGAAATTCAGATTAATAGCCATGCTAGGGGCCTAGAAAGTAATTGGTACAAATTAGAAGAAGAAATCAGTATCTTCAAGAAGAATGACTTTCAAGGAGTATGTAGAACTGTTAGTGATATGGTAAAGAAGACAGGCATAAAATAAATGAAAAAGCAATTAAAAATTCTGAGGAGGGGAGTGCTGCATAAAAAAATCCAGATTCAAATATAAGGTGAATTAAAATGCACCACAACTTTGACAGGTAGGCGGGGGAGTGAGGGGGGGTTTATTTGATCCCACTGATGCTGGAAACCTCCTTGGAGTGGGGTATGTTATTGGACCCATAGAGAAGATTATAAATATAACCCTTATTCACTGCAGTGAGAAAATGTATAGTCATCAGTATAAAAGATCTGTTTATTGATTTTCAGTGTTTAGCGTCAACCTGTAAAGAGAACACAAAAGCCTTAATCATTCTTTTACAACCTTGACAAAGTTAACAAAAGTACAGCCTCCTCGGGAGGTCAGATGTGGCACAGGACAAATCCAAGGAAGGACAGGACAACTAATGGCACATCTTATAGTGAGGGCTCAAGCAGCACTGGCTGAAGCTTATAGGATAAGCAATAAATGTCTCTTGTAAGTTTGAAAAGGTAAGCAATAAAAAGTAAAAGGTGATTTAAAACTCATGAAGGGTTTAGAATCAGAATTACAGGGCCAGGGATTTAGCTCAGCAGTTCGGTGGCCTGCCTTGCAAGTGCGAGGACCAGAGTTCAATCCCTGATACAAAAAAAAAAAAAAGAATTACAGGGGTAGTGTTATTTTTCTTACTGTACTGTCAGTATAAAAAGTCTCCAGTTGTACCCATAAATAATACTGTGCCCATAATATTTAGACTTATGAAGGTTATCACTTAAGAAATTAGAAGTCCTTAAAAATGTTCTTTTGGGGGTATAGGATCTGATTGGAAAGGGTAGGGTTTGGAAACAGTTTTCTAAGAATTGATATTCGAAGCTGTTCTGCACTATTTGGTTTCTTGCCGTATATATGCATTACTTTGGTTTTTAAGATCATTGAGTACTTGGCATGTAGCAAATACAGTTAGAAGAGTTAGAGGTGGGGCCACAAATCTTGTAGGAGAAGCATCTGTAGAAGCAAATGATGCCAGGATTGGAGCCCTTCCTGGGGTCGTGTTTGTGTCAACTGTGAGAGAGGAAGGCAGGGCAGGGAACCACAGCTTACAACTCAGCAGGTAGAGTTCATGGTATGTTTGGCCAATTGATTGAAACTGTTGAGTCATAGCCCTCAGAGAGGTGAATTAGGAGAAGAAGTGTTTAGGACTTGGGGGCTCGGGGACTTAACTCTGCTCCCTTAGATTAATAATAATTCTAGCCAGCCAGATAGGATTACTGACAGTGCAGAGCTAGAAGAATCCTTAGGGAGGCTCTGTCCAGCCTTTCATTTTATAAACAAAGGAAGCTTGGTAGTGGCAGAGGTAGGGCTGAAATTCAGCTATTCTAACTCCGAGTTTCGTGTTAGATCAGACGAGTTCCAAACTAAGACACTCCTCCAACCAGGCACTGATAATCTGTTATGTATCTACTGTGGGCACTGACTTGACCACTTGGTTCATGTTATCTAATGTAAGTTTCACAGCAGCTATGTGTTATACAATTCCCATGTTAAATTTGAGCAAATGAAGAGAATTTAAGTAATGTGTTAATTTGTTTAAGGCCTGTAGCTGGGCAGAGGCAGGGCCTGGACAAAAAAAGAACATCTCTAAGTTCATAATCCTTGGTTTCTGGCTCATAGTTTGCTCCTTACTCTTTGAGGTGAGAACAGGGCATCTCTGTATTGGTGACCAGAGTAAAAATCATAACCATTTCATACTTAATCAGTGAACATGTCAACACAGCCCTGTACGGAGGGAAACATGATCCATACACTGGCACTGTGTGAGCAGGGCTCTTTGATCTGCTTCTCCATTCTCCCATGGCCACACTGGGTGAAGGTCTGTGTGCCACTAGTCCATCCTTCTTAATTAGAAGGAACCCCAGGAGACTCTGCATAGCTCCAAGCTATTCTGAGAAAAATAAACAGGAGCCAGAAAAGAGGGAGAGGAGAAATCCTCACAGACTTTAAAAGATTTATACTGAAAATATCCTAAGGAGTTTATGAAATGTATTTTTTTTTCCTTTTTTGTGTGTGTGGAGGAAAAACTGATGATGAAAAGATAGCTCGCAACTATAGTATTTCATTGACTTTAAGCTCAGCCTCTTATTGATAGTCCAGTTGCACAAAATAAAATTCATATAAACATCATCTCACATATTAGAACTGGAAATACAATCCATCTTCCATTCAGCTTTGAAAGCATCCCATTATTGAGGTACTGTATTACTGAGTCACAGGGACAGAATTTACACCTAGAAAAGAGGACCAGAGATGCAGGATGAGCTCTCAGATCTGACACCCCAACACCTTCAGCTTGGTTTTTGAGTTTCTGGTGTGTGTACCATACAGATGCATAGAAGAAATGGGACAGTGTCTTGATTTTTCCTGTGTTCTTTCAGTAGCTAGAAAAATCACAGCTTTCAGCCCAACTTTCTACCAACTTGGAAACATCAGCAGAAAGTCTCAGACCAGGGCATGGTTATTGTTCCTTTATTTGTAAATTCATCCTAACTTCAGATTCTACTCTCAAAGAGTCTAGGACAAGAGCATATCACCAGGAGATACTTCTGTTCTGGATAGATACATGCTAATTTAGGATTGGAAACCCCAACCATATTATGTTTTCTAACATAACACCTGTATTTGCAATAGAAACATATCGAAGACATCAGATTTGTATTTAGTCACACCCTTGTCCAAATGTAGTAGTATAGGATGAGATTGGGGCTCTCTTTCCCACCCCATCAGTCCTCTGGAAGTCCCAGTCTGATGGTGTCATGCAGCTGCTCAAAATGTCTAGCTTCCTATTATCCACAAAATAAAGTAAATCATCATCTAGGAATTATACGTTCTTTATATTCTGGTCTCACCATCTGCCAACCTAGCCTTTCTAATTTCCAAATCTCTCTACACATCCCACTCTGCAACCCAACATTTTCTACTTTTATGTCTTTGTCCCTCTTCCATCAACTTGTGTGGGGGGGGGCTTCTGCCAATATCTTTGTTTCTCTCCCTTTGCAAGAGCTAGCTTAAGAGCCTTTTTCTTTGAGTCTTCCCACCTGGACTCAAAGTCACCTTCCTGGAGTTTCCCAAAGGACTTTATGTGTGTTATGACTTTGTAACCTCTACTTATGAGTATAGTTCTTACAGGCATCTTTTCAGCCCTACCAGACCTGAAGTTCCTTGTAGGCTGGAGATGTGTGTAGTTCATGTCTGTGTCCCCAAGGCAGACCCTGTGCTTGAATATCTGCTCAAAATAGACATAGATTAATTTAATCAATATTCATCTGCTCCTGTTTCTCCTTAGCTGTCTGAGTTGCTGAACTATTCTGGACACCAGGTACCCTGATCATATTTTAGATTAAAAGACTGTTAATAATGAAGACGATACAAGAAAGAAAGCACTGCTTAAAATTCCAGAGCCTGGCATTTGCCTTAACTCTCAAATTAAGACTTGATAAATCACTGCCACATATATGTCTCCAGTCTGCTTCTCTAGAAAAGCAAGGGATTGTATTTGATGTTCTTTCCCATTCCGGGTCTATGGTTCTAACTCCATTCCTTTTTGTCTGTCCCCATGGTAAGCACACCCCCCCACTATAAGTTGGGGATAAAATATAGATACTTCACTGAGAGTTACAGAGCATTTTCAAATGTCCATGTGCCACGTTAAAACTGCAGCACAGAGGGTTCCGTTCCTAGTATTGACCCCTACTGTGCCCATCCAGCTTAGAAGCAGTCTTGTGTTCACTTCATCCTAATTTTAACCAGAAATCGCTTTTACATATTTTCAGAATATCACATGTCTCTTCTTCATGGAAACATGTTTTTCTGGTAGGAATCCCTACCTTTAACCTGCTTCATTCTTTATCACAGTCTGCCGAGTCATTTGCATCACTGGCAAAGTGGGCTCTCTATTGCCCAAGACTGCGACTCAACCTGCTTCATTCTTTATCACAGTCTGCCGAGTCATTTGCATCACTGGCAAAGTGGGCTCTCTGAAGATCGAATGGCTGGTTTAATTAAGTGTGGGAATGGGAGGCTGGTTAAGAAGGCTGAGCACTTATTAGCTGGTTCTCACTGGGGAAGTTGAGGATCATGTTGCAGTAGGTTTTCGTGAAAAAAGTAGCATCTATTGGTCCAAAACCTCAATGAGAAGTGCAGCAAATAAAATTAATTCATCAGAGGGATGCCTGGAACAGTAAAATGGTGCTGTGCTTTTATGCTGACAGTAAACTCCTTGGGTGTAGGATTCTTGTAGGTCATTTGGCTTGCGCCATTGGAATCAGGGTTGGCTTGTCCCAGAGGGAAACTTGGCTGCAAGCATGGCACCAGGAGGGATTTGTAGGGCTTTCTTTGTGGAGACCAGTTGCAAATTCACATGACTCATGAACCCAAGAACTGAAATGGATCTTGAGAGATTATTGAATTCAGCTAACCCTTTTCATCCCACTTTATAAAGAAGGAAACTGAAACCTAAGAAAGTTAATGCTGTGCCTAAGATCACTTAGCTAATAAGAAAATGGAAGTTCTTTGGAATAGATGTTTTTATTGTTTTATAGATGGAAAACTTGAGGCTCAAGGCCAATGCTAGAAAGTAGGGAAGCTTAAGAGAGACCCTTGATCTGACTGGTTAGAATGTACGTGTCCCCAGCCACCATCTATATGCCTCGGCCGTACTGTTTGCAATGGAAATCTAAGAGGGGGAGGGTTGGGTGTGTGGAGAGAAGGGAAAAAGGCCTCCAGCATCTCCCACTTTGATGCTTTGGTCCTGCCACAGGACTGCTGGTGGTCATCTTGCCTCTACACATCTGCAGCTTAATTTTTCCTGTTTCTTTCCAGGCTCCTTCCTCCTCCTCAACACCTCAGCAGACTCCAAACATACCATTCTCAGCCCATGGATGAGGAGTAGCAGTGAGCTCTGTACGCTAGCTGTCTCTGTGCACAGGCATCTGCAACCCTCTGGGAGGTACATTGCCCAGCTGCTGCCCCACAATGAGGCCGCGAGAGAGATTCTCCTGGTACCCACGCCAGGGAAGCACGGGTAAGTCTTTGTGTCCAAGATTGACTTCGTAAAAGTGATTTGGCTTCTGCCTGCCAATTTCCAGACTCTGTGACATCTACTTAAAACTTAAAGTTGTCAAGCGGCAAGGGCCCAGCCTGAACATTACTGCTAATACTCCCTTGCAGTATCTCAGGCATTGATCTGTGGGTCTCCCTCTCCACCTTGGCATGGTCCTTCCAGAGGCCAGAGGACCAGCTGGCAGAGTGGTATGTAATGTGTGGGTATTAAAAAATACTCATTTCCCAAATTCAAGATGGAGCCCAGGAGAAACTGGCTAAAAAGAATGTTAAATGGCTGGAATTAAAATAATTTAATATGCTGGAAACTGGGTTTTACCAGCAGAGCTTGGGCAGGAAGGAAAAAGAAAAAATATTGTGGCCACCCTAGCAGGTCTTATGAGAATGTGGAACTTCAGAACACACCAATATCATCTTAGTGGAGATTGAAAGAGAGCCTTGTCCTGGAACTCTGAAAGCATCACAACCTTGAAGTCATACCCACCTATGACAGCCAAATCCTCTGAGCTTTGAAAGGATCTCACTTACTCAGCAGTCTGTCAGGCCTCTAAAGAGAAGTGACATTGGAACTCAGACTTGAGTAGAGGTCTCTCTTTGCCTGTCTTTTTTCTCCACTAATTTCATAATTATAAGTACCATCCTAAGTTCCCAGTTTTGAGGACCCATAGATCTCATTACTTTATAATCAACAAGGATGAGGGACCCTTTTTGCGGCATATTTACAAGAAAAAATTATCTGGATTTCAGCTATGCTTGGATTTGGCTTCTTTGTAACAAAATACCTTTTCAGAGGTTCCCCTCTACACAACGACCCATCTCTCATCCTCACGGTATGCAGTGGGGAATCCTGCCTATTGCTTTTCCGATAAGACTGTATGACCTCCTTAGTGATTTCTTGGAAGTCTCCTCCCCACTGTTCCCTATTGACATTTCTGTATTCAGTTGTGCTTAGAAGAAATGCAACCTACTGCAATTCTAGTAGGAATGACATTTTGACATCAGGAAGAGTGCTGTCTCCATACCTCAGCTCACATCCACTTGTTGCCTCAGAAGTGTCTCTGTGGGCTCGATAGGAGGGTGCCAGTCTCCAGTGCCTCTTGTTCTAGTCTCCAAAGATCAAGACTATCAGGTGTCTGGGTACGCACTCTTTTGGAAGAGCTGTCTTCTGAGGTACAGCCTTCAGCCGCATGACTTCCCCTTTCCAGGGACAATCTCAAATGGTTGGGCCTCCCATCCATGGGCAGGGCTGGTGACGGCCTTGGCTGTGGTGCCATCTTACAGGCATTAGCCTAGCCTCATGATTAACGCACTCAACATTCCCTCCCCACCCAATCTGACTGATCAGGGAGGCTGATCCCCTGTGGGGATGAGTGGGGGTAGTGAGGAATCACTGAAGTCCTGGCAGGGAGCAGAGTTAAAGATCACTCTGAAAGCCAGGCTGAGAATATCCATGAATACAAGAGAGAAGGTGCCAGAGGGATTTTGATACATCCTGCACAGCAGTGTTCATTTCCCTGTGAGTAGGCAGGAAGACGGTGACAGTCATAAGGGCTTACAAAAGGTTTTCTCCTCTTTATCTTCCTGTGCTCCTAACTACCAAGTGAATTCCCAGTTAGCAGATGAGAAAACTGAAGCAGAGAGAGAGGAAACAGAAAGTGATGTAGTCTAAACTGGACCCTAGATTTCTTCTCTCTTGTCTGTGCTCTTTCCAAGAAACCCAAAGCTTCTCAGCAGGTATATGGGGCTCGGGATGGGAAAGCAAAAAGTTAAGGTAAAAGACTCTTGCAAGAGAAAGAGGATTTAGGTTGTTTGATGCCTCAAGCAGATGAGCCCAGGGCATGTAATGCTAGTACCTTCAGAATCAGTCTTCCTTCTACAGGTGGTGAAAACAGGACCATGGCCTCGGGATGTGAGCAGGCTGGAACTTCCCCCAGACTAGAGGCTGCCATGGTCTACCTGGCTGACCAGTGCATGCTCTCCCCAGCCCAATTTCTCCATCATCAGAGGGGGTTGGGCTGCCCTATTCAGGGTGTGCGTTGAGGCAGGAGAGAGGGATCAGGATTGTGCTAGGGTAAATCCAATGATTTAAGGTAAAGATGCCTAGCCCAGACAACCCACTTCCAACAAGATCATCGTGGCAAGGGTGGAAGGTGGCAGCTGAAGGGGCAATCGATAACCCGCTCTACTGCATGGAGGAACTCTGCTCCCCTGCCCATCTCAGTAAGCTACAAGACACAAGGCACTTACCCGAGAAATCAAGGAGGGAGCTCTAGATATTTGTATAGAGTTAGATCAGTATGCTTGACATTTTGGTAGAGCAGTTCTTTTTGGGGGAGGAAAGGGTGTCCTGTATATTTTCTCCCAACACACCAGATATCTGTGCAAATAGATGCCAGTAGCACCTCCCTAAATTGTGACAATCAGAAACCTCTCCTCCAGATACCGTAAAGTGTCCCCCAAGCATGGAGGGGCACAACCCCACCACCACCACTGAAAGCCATTGATAGAATAGTTTAGATCTGGGACAAACTGTGGGACTTACCTGGTTCAAGCTTTTCAATTTACAAGAGTAAGAATCAAGGGCCAGGAGAAGTTGTTCCCAGTCACATCCTGAGTCTCTTTTTTGGTAGACAAATGTCTAGAGTCCTACACTTGTGTGTATGTGCCGATCACTATACTGGGCCTGGATTACGAAGATATAGGGTCCAGTCCCTTTCTTTGAGTAGTAACAACTATTGCTACCATCTGTTTAACACTATCTGGATACACCGACCAGGTACTCTGTGGACTTTACAATGCGCTGTGTTATTAAGGCATTAAATTATTGTTATCAGTGTCCATTCTACAAATGAGGAAATTTAATGAGGCTGAGTAACCTATCCAAGGTTACAGGCTAGACAGGTGAGGTGTTCTGAACCTAGCCAGCCAGATTTCAGATCATTTTTATCCACTGCTGTCAGAGCTAAGCCATGGTAGTGCAGCAGAACAATTCACAGTACAAGGCTGTGAAGGATAAGCCTTGAATTTGAATCTTCGCTCACCAGTTCACTGGTCGATGACCTCAGTTTCTTGAGTACTTTCTATTTATTAGGACCATAGAGGCGCAGAGAATACAAAAGGTCAGATCCACTACCAAGAATGTTCAGTGCATGAGCTGTGTGGCTTCAAGCACATCCCAGTCCTTCTGAAATCTCAGTTTCTCCATCTGTAAAGGGAGGATGCTGGTGCTGGCCCAGCCCACATGCTGTTGTGGGTCAGTGTAATGAAGGGTAGAATGATCTTGCACACTCTGGGTAATGCAAATGGAAGGCACCATTGTCTAATATCCTAGCCTGTTTTGCTCTGCTCAGAGCCTAGGATCAAAAGAGACTGAAATAGGTCTGCTTATGGGGGTCACAGCCCATCTCAGAAATCCAGTGGTTCGCCTCACTGAAAGCTCATTCCATTTAATGTCGGTGATGACCTCAGTAGTATGACGCTCGGAGCAGCGAAGGGAACGCAGTGATATCCTGGTGATGTTGACTGTGATGATTACAAACAGGGCTGACTTCCTCTCATAATAGGAGATGAGGGTTTGGGGACTCGTGATGGAAAATAACATTCAGTGTTGCCACAGGGGAGAAAGTTGTAATAATAAAGTCCGCTGGGGAGAGCCTGACTCACAAGAGTGGGTTGAAGAATGACAAGTCTTACGCCACCAAGTCCCCAGAAATCCTTGCGTCGTGAGTGCAGTGGCAGCTCTGGAAGCAGGAGCCTGCCTGGAAGCACTCAGGGCAGGGCAGAGACAGTGGGGAATGCATAGCAGCTGTTCTTTCCTAGTCTCTTGGAAAGCAGCAGAGTGTCTGAGGTCCAGTGACTCACAGGGCATGAGCAGTCATGTCTGCCAGGGTGGCCTGGCTTTAGTAGGGGTCTCCTACGGGACAGCCAGATGGGTGCCAAGTCTGCTCATCTGCCCGGCCAAAATGACCGCAGAAGAAAGGAGACAGAGAAACCAGGGCTGCCAAGCAGCCCAGGCCAGCTGGCCACAGAATGAAGCAGGCACTGGACATCTTAGCGCAAAACGAGTGACCACAGAGTCCCCATAAATTGAATGACTATGATAATACCTACTTAATATGGCAAGGTGTGGATGGCATAAGGAAAGTGCCCAACTAGAGCAGGCATTTAATAAGCGCTCGGTCCTTTGCAGTTTATATGTTGTTTCCACAACCATGGGCTGAGTGCTTCTCGTGTAATAGGTGTCAAAGATGGCACAGCTGAAGACAATGAGGTCACGGCTTTCAAGGAATGTCCAGTCCATTAAGGAAGACACGAGTGAAATAGCAACGGCAAGTGCTTACGGAACCGTGTTGAAACTGAGGCCCAGAGAAATTAGGATGCTGAGCTAAGTTCAGTGGCCAGGAGAGACAGCATGGGCAGCCAGCCCCTGCTTCTGCCTAGCAAGCGGCCCACTGTACTGCACTGCTGATCTCAGGTGTCTTTGATCAACCTGGCAGCAACTGGCTATGTGCACTCAGTGCCGTGCTGGACGGAGGAGCATAAGCTTAAGGGCCGCTGGTTTTCCGGCCTTGGGCGTGATGCTCCAGAGCTGCTTCCCACACATCCGGCTCAGACATTCCTGCCCCTCCAAGCACACAGCTCTGTCCTGAATCCGTGAGTGTGTGACCAGGACTACACAGTGTGTGGGGAGAAGAACTGGGTCTTGAGGGGATAGGAGCTCTGATCGCTTGAGTTAATGATGCTTGAATGATGTTTTAAATCAAAAGGATTCGGTGATGCTCTGGCTTGTGCCTGGCAATGCTGTCAGGGGACATTTCACAGCAGGAAGCCCCGCCGCAGAGGTGAGAGAGAGCTAGGCTTCTCCTCAATGCAAAGCCTCGCCTCTCTGCAGGACCTTAGCTCTAGACCCAGAAGATGCTGGAGCTCAGTGTCCTCCCATGGGTTTCCGTATACCTGAGGCCT